GGCTTGGTAACGACTTGTGAGTAAGTCGGTTACAATGCGTAAGCTATAGCTGAGAGTGCTTGCCAATGGCGGTCTTGAGCTATGAGTAATTAAATGGATCTTCGATCAAATGAGGACGCTGGACCCGCTTTACATCAAAGTCAACTTGCGAGAATTTTTATATAAGGAGCGTTGGATCCGCCTCATCTACATCATCGCTCCTTCTTCCTGAAAACCATGACTCTCAAACTATTTGGCTCCCCGTACTCCACCTGCACCAAGCGTGTTGCGACTGTCCTCATCGAAAAGAAGGTCGCTTTTACTTTCCAAAGTATAAATATTATGACTGGCGAACACAAGTCCGAGGAGTTCAGAGCACGCCAGCCCTTCGGGCAGGTCCCATACATCGTGAGCCGGCTTGTTGCCCATTTAATTCCGACCACTTTCTCATGGTGCTGAGTAGGATGACGACGGCTTCATTCTGTACGAAAGTCGCGCCATCTGTCGCTACATCGCGGACAACTACGCCAACCAAGGCCCGAAGCTCGTCCCCACGGACCTCAAGGGAAAGGCCCTCTTTGAGCAGGCCGCATCCACTGAATACTCGAATTTGACCCCTTCAGTTCGAGGGCGTTAGCGAGGCCGTTTTCAAACCGTAAGCCTGTCGCTAATTCCGAGTCTCTGGTCTGACTCAATTACAGCATGATGGGTATGGAGACCAACAAGGCCAATCTTGAGGAGAACCTCAAGACACTTTCTGCGAAGCTCGATGTGTACGAGGCCATTCTCGGGAAGCAAAAGTACCTTGCCGGAAACGTGCGTATATTCGCTGATCCATCCCAGCCCGTTGTTTATAATCCATTTGAATATCCATAGGAAGTGACGCTTGTCGACTTGTTCCACCTTCCGTACGGCGCCCTGTTGGAGAAGGCCGGCAGTGACCTTATGACCACCAAGGGCCCCAACGTCACCAGGTAGGCCGTTTTTTGTTTCTACACGCATCCGCGGACTGATTACCCGATCCACAGATGGTTCAATGACCTCCAAGCGCGGGAGTCGTGGGTGACAGTCAAGGATGGGATCTCGAAGACTTCGTACTGAACACGTTCCGGAAGAACGAAGTCTAAATTAGCATATAAACTGGTTCTTCAACCACATTTTTAGATGTTGAAGTTCGATTCCATCTCTCTTGCCTGCTCAGTATTCGTTTTCCGATATATGTGAGAGGAACGGTCTGTTCCAGATTTGAGAAACGATGTCTTTGTGAATTCCAGGTTTTCTTAATATATTGTATTTAGTATCGACGAAGCCACGAAGCCGCTGCAGGTGCTTATCTCTATGCGCTGGCCCTCGAGCATGACCCGTCCCAGAATCGAACTGGGGCCTTCAATTGAGGCAGAATTATTGTGGGTCCGCTACCGAGCGTGCTAACAGGTCTTTCCCTCATATAAATTGAACACAATATATATGCAGTAGCAGAAGCTTCTGAATTCAAAATGATACATCCCAGAACAAAAACGCTGGCGAACCTTTGAAACACAACCATCCAAGACATCCCAGAATCGGCCTGGGGCCTCCCACACGACTCTTGGAGGTCATTCAGTTATTACCAGTGGGTGCGCCGCCGAGTACGCTAGTAGGCCGTTCTGGTAGCTACGGCATGGAGCGGACGGCTTGAGTAAAATGAAATGAACGAGCCAAAAAAACAGGTGATGACCTATCCCAGAGCCGAACTGGAGTCTTCCACATGACGTTTTGAGTCAAGTTCTAGTTATTGTGGATGCGCTACCTTCTGTGCCAACAGGTCTTTCCTCATATTATTAAGTGAACCATAACATATACAGTAGTGGTCATGGGGTGGAGGGCCTTGAGAGAAAGCGGGCGCGCCTCTAGGCTGGGCTTTGTACAAAAGGTAAAGACTCCGAACAAAATCGCAGAATAACCAGTAATGACCGGAATGACCTGTCCCTGATTCAAACTGAACCTCCCATATACCTTGTTCAACGATGCTCAATTACTGTAGGCGGTGCACTGCCGAGTGCACCAACAGCTCTTCTATTATATCGATTGAACCACAATAAATTTGTAAGTAATAAATTTGTGATTAAATGAACCAAGGGGGGGGGGACATGATGCGATTCCTGAATGACCTATTCCAGAGTCGAACTGGATCCTCCCACATAAGGTAGCGGCCATACAAGTGCGGTTGCCCCACATGACGACCCAAATTGAGCGAATCTCAGCTTGTAGAATGAGCATCGAAAATCCGGCTCAACAGTTTTGTGTGAATGTATCATCAGACAGTTCCTCAATATTTTGAGAAATTTCAGTGGAGAAATGGAGGACGAGTTCCCAAAGTGATGTGAACTTACATTTGCCATCAATCCTGCTAGATTCTGGAACTAGTCATTCATTTCATAACCTAAAAGCCCCAAAATATTTAGAAGCATTCTTAGATAACATTCAAAGAGAACTGTTGGGCCGGATTTTCTAATTTCTACAGAGGTTGGGAGGATTCACGGGAACATTCTGAACTTCGCCCAATAAGGTGATGTCACGTGGGGTAACTTATGTCCCCTACCTTAACTCCCTTGGACAAGATCAATTTATCGTGGGCGCTGCGGAGTGCGCTAAAGGTCCCTCTGGTCTGCAATATGTAGGGAACTTATCAATGAAATTGAATGATTGAATGGCGGGGACAACAAAAATGTTTGTGGGACAAATCCCGACTACGTCTCAGGAAATTCTGTCTGACGTAATGGGTGCTTAGGTGCGGAGTTTCCAAGAGCGTTTATGGATGGTGGAACGAACGAACGAATGACAGAGTGAAAGCTGACATCTGAAATTAAACCCAATCCGACCCCCCCCCCCCCCAAACAAACAAAAAGGATTGAGCCAGATCAAGGATCATGTACAATTATTGTGTGTGACCGGCTTTTCAAAAGCTTACTCTGCTATTCACGAATGAAGGTCTTTTTTTCTGGCCGTTTATTTACCGGGAAAAAATAAATAAATACGCAACTGTCCTAGAATTGAACTGGGGACTCTCACTAAGACTCATTTTAGCCTGGGCATATATCAGTGGGCGCAATACCAACTGTGCCAATAGGTCATTGTTAGCAGTGTGGAACCGAAAAAGCTCCCTGAAAATAGTTTTATGGTTGAACTGCCAGCGTCGGCCCGAAAAAATGATGGCCGATCCAAACTCCGTGCGGTCCGAGACTCCGCCAATGCCATAATGAAGCCATTTTCTCCTCTCCCCTCATCGCTCGGAAGTTGGAACGAACCACCAGCAGCGGCGGTAAAGCTCGAGACTACCGCATCGGGTTAAAAAAATCACCTCGAGCGGAAGCGCATGATCCACCTTCGCGCGTCAACTTTCCCTCAGTGTCGCAGTCGCTTCATCCAAGCCGCGCAAAGCGTGGACTCTCTTCCCCCTGGTTCACTGGAGTCAACATCGTAGCCGACAGCGCCGACACTTTTGCCCACGATCCATGGGAAAAGCAAGCCCTGGGACCTGCGGTATCCGTTTTCATGTACACATTTCTCTTCAGACGGATAGAAAGTCTTCTTCGCTGCTACTCACCGCGTTGGACCAAACAGTTCTTTGTGCGTGGAACGGACACTTTCTGGTCTCCTTGGTATTTTCGACCGACCAGCCACCGCCCTGCTTCGGTATGACGCTCAGCGCTCATCTCGACTCCACGCATGTCAGCTCAAAGACGCGCCGAAGCTTATCGCGCATACCACCGGCATGACCACGTTCGCTCACTTCTTCGGCTACACCATCGACCTCGGCGTCGCACAGCCCACCCTCGCGACGGAGGACGGCAAGTACCTCCTCAAGTACGCGCCTGACGCGCGGTGCTCCTCGTGCGCGAAAGTCGCCCACAACTGTTTACCCGGCGCCACCGAAGAGGTGATCCAGGCCGTGCGCCTACACCGGGTCGCTGCGCATAGTTATAGTGCTCGGTGCCCATCAGTGCCCTCCCTTGCCCCTCTCCCCCGCTTTCGCCAACACCCCTGCGCGAGCCTCTGCCGACCGCCGCCGCAAGAGCCGCACACCACGCGCTTCGCGCGCGGCTCCTCGATGCTGCACGCACAGGGCTCTTCCACATCGCTCCCCCCCCGCGCTCGGCCGCCTTCTACGCCACGTGCACCCCATCCCCCGCGCCGTCCGCCTACAGCAGTAGCGGCGCCCTTCTCCGCCCACTACGCCACCGCATTCTCCAGCAGCGCCGAGCGCGTGGGCTCGCGCACGCCGTCCCCCGCGTTCCCACACGACCAGAACGAATACCGCTTCCCCACGCGCGTGACGTACGACTAGCACAAAGATGAATGGATCCGCGTGCCCTCTGTTACCGCGCACCCGTCCACCACCATGCGCAGCACGCGCTCCGAGCGATTTCTCTCCCGCACGTCCGAGTTTGCTGAGCCCGCGGACGGCGGCTCAAGCTGGAACCGAAGTGGGGGGCGCGGCGACGTGGGCCTAGGGACGAGCATGACGTACCGGCCTGAGTCGCGCCAGGGGTGGAGTGGCGAGTGGGGTGGCGCGGCGCAGGGCTTTGGCATGGACGAGGTCGTCAACCGGCTAAGGGGGCTCAAGATGAAGTGAGGGTATTCCCTCATTAGATTCTATGCACTTCTATTGGGTGCGCTCGCCGCATTGTCGATCACGACGTGCTTGGATGGTCGCACGAAAGGCCGCGGGCTTTACGTAGAGGGGAGGAGGGAGTATGCTACGACTATGGGTACACTTATACGTCTACAGCCGTGGTTTCGTTCTGGATATCGGTGTGGGTACTCTAATACGGGTTTGTCATTAATGTTGCTGGGACGCGGTGCTTAATAGTGTATGTACATACTGTACATAACTGCTGATGGAATGGTGTGGGTGCATGGCGAGTTGGCAACAAAATCCAGCGCTGGTAAATCGCGTGTCATCGCAGCCCGTGGTGGAACAAACCGAAGTAGAATAAGAAAGGAATCGACACAAAGAAAAACTAAAAAACACTATACCACGACCTGTCCCGGATTCGAACCGAAGCCTCCCGCACAAGTCTACGAGGACAGTGTGAACACTATACAGGCGCGCTTCCAACTACGCTAACTGGTCATCTTCTCCTGTTGTTTTAGTTCGAAGTCGTATGTAGATGTGGGTGGAGGAAGCCTGGGAGCAATAAAAAGCCAAGTTGATGATCCGTACTAGAGTCGAACTCACCCACATGCTCAATCCAGGGAGGTGTTAGTCTTTGCGGGTACGCTAACCACTGTGCACACCAACAGGTCATTCTGGCGTGTTAACTGAAGCAGAATATAAGCGGTGCCGTCGGCGTTGCCATTTATGCTCGGAATAATATTTCGCGATGCTGGTTGGATGTGCATATGTTGGCCATCAGTATCGCGAACTATTGGCAAGGCATGCTCAAAGTCAATGTTGGCTAGTCGTCCCGCTGCAGTCCGCATTGGAAGGGACTCGGAATATAACTGAAACCAATGCCGGACAAGGAGACAAAAAGACAAAAAAAAATGTAGAAGACACCATTACTACGACCTATCCCGGGCTCGAACCGGAAGATGATGACAAAGTGTATACATTACACAGGCACGCTCCCCACTGCGCTAACAGGTTTATCTGACATGCTAATTCAACTCTAATATTAGGCGGAAGGTCTTAAACAAATGAAATGAAACGAGCCAGAACGAAAATGTGAAACCCGCCCTGTCCCAGAGTCGAGCCGGGTGAGTCGTACCCATCCTCGTCACTTAGTTACTTCGCTTAGGAATGAGAAAATTCGTGAGTTTGATGTGAAAACACGAAAGTTCGTCATTTCAGCTGAATTCTGGGAAAGCTCGTCACTTCGATTAAATTCTGGTGAAAGCTCGTCACTTTCGGGTGCGCGCGACCTATGCACTTGCCATGTGTGATCACCAGAATTACGGAACGCCTCAACATTCTTGCTACCACCATTCCCACCCGCGTCGGCGATTCTCAGTCGCATTCCTGCCCATTATGCACCATAACACGTTTTCGGACGATACATGGTGTTCTGGAAGTGATGACCGAAATCTTCTGGGCATGTTCGCGTTCCCCATGCCCGCAAGAGTCATCCTACCAAATGTAGTGCAATGAATTCTTATTGACTGACGAGAAGGTTGCTCACACCCATGCGATAATCATGGTGCTACCAAGGTTCTTGACGTAAATACTCCACTGCTCAAGGTTGATCTTGTTAATGTGCAAAAAAATTAATTTGAATTCATAACTTAGTTCCCCTGAATGCATCGATGTCTACAAGTAGCGACTGTCAGGAACGAACCGATCCCAAGTGAAACTACTAGCCTGGAATTTTTACCGAAGATGTACCACGAGCTGAGACTTCTTGACAGCTTCGACGCCAACCACATCCGAACCGCCGAACCGCTGACGAGGCCTGGTCACAAATGTTCTGGGTCCATGTCCTTGGAGTCAGATGTGCCTCCCAAGCGTCTGAAGCTTGGGCATCTGAAGGGGTGGGGGGTCGAGAGAGATGGTGTAAGCATGACTGCTGTGGAATACACTCAGAAGCACTGGAGCGAGTTTCGAGAGGAATGCCCTGAAGTGATGACTTACATTCTACCCAATGACATTCAAGTCGAGTAGATAATTTTCTCCCTTACTATTATCCTCTAATACACATCTTTGAATACAAAGTGGATTTATGTACATCTAAATTTATTAGGTGAGCTCAGAGACGCCTCGGGGTGATGGATAAGATAGAAATTAGGGCCCGTGAAAACCCAGTGAAAGCTCTGATCGCCAGAGACCCTTGCCGCAGTCGTGCCGTCGTTCAAGGCAAACAAATGGCCCACGGAATAAGTACGGCAGCCTCGGCAACTGAACGCGGTCATGTGGTTATCGTCAAGTGACAACTTTTCACGTGTGCAGAGGAAGTGACGAAGTTGTCGTAAATCTAGCTGAACTCACGAACTTTCAGGGAATACCATCAACCTCACAAACTTCCACAACACTAAGCGAAGTAACTAAGTGACGAGGATGGCGCGGACTCGCCCGGCCTCCCGCACAATTCTGGCACACATATATTAAATGCTACGATCGCGCTTCTATCTGCGCTAAAGGGTCTTGTAGCGTATTGGGTTTCAAAAGTGTATTAATATCAATATTATACGACTGAGAAATTTGAAATCAAAAAGAAATGTCAACAAACAGTGGATGACCTGTCCAGAGTCGAACTGGGTCGGCCACATAATGGACTGAATGGAATCAGTTGATCCTACATCGGAAGCTATGGTTGTGGCACTATCAAACCCAAAGAAGCTAAAAGTTCAACTGCTCAGCGCCACAGGAAACGGCGGCCGCTTTGACAGGAGATCCCAGATACACTTCTGACAAAGTGGCTTGTTTACGACGTGCACCTGCCAACATCGGTGACCTCATCCCAACAGTCCGAATCTTCGCATCAGCTCAAACACCATGGCGCTCATCGGCACTCGTCGCTCTATGCATTGGTGAACCTCATAACCGCGACTGGGGAGCGACCTGCTACCGACTTATGCTACTTAAAGAGAGAGAGAACCTAAGAGGAGTCCCAAGGAGAAGAATCCCGAAACCGTTTAACTGACGGTTGATTGACGAAGACAACAACAATGAGCCAAGAGCTGTGTAAGTACAGGACTAAGAGTCAGTAAGCTGATGATATGAGCCAGATAAATCTGGATAGATATGATTCTAATCGTAAGGAACGTCGTGCCAAAAATGCGGAGAGCTCGGAGTGTATCGTGAATATAACTATTCCAGGTGGTCCGGAATAATGTTGGTCCTTGCAAGTCGTCCCGAAATATCCTGCGGTCAAGGTCATGAAGGTCAACATCCGAGACTCACTGCTCTAGTACTTGTCTATGATATTCCCAGACTCGTCGCAAAATTGGAGTCCTCTGCGTTTCATGGTGCATGGACTCGGAGGGCAAAGTAGCTTACCAGTAACTAGTAAAAATACACGGCCACCATCTGTTGGATGAGCTCAATCCGCTTCTCCGCATCTTCATCAAGAGGTAGGCGTTCTCGATCAAACACACTTTGACAGCCCCCCCAAATCGGGATAGCCAAGCCAGCAATCAACTCTCAAAGGCCTGATTTTTTGATTGCTGAATACAACTCAAATATCTAGTAAAAAGAGTTCTAAAATTTTGGCTACCCCTCATTTTGGCGCGTAATTCATCGATCTATGTATGTTACATATTATTATTTGGGGAAGAGCCTCCGCTCTTGAATTTACAAGAATTTTCGGTTACCTCTTGCCGAAGTTCCTGCTTTAAATGTTAACCACATCATCGCCTAAAGGCGTCATTTTGGGAGTCTTGCCGCTCTCGCACCCAAAGAATTGGCTTGCTGCTGATCCAAGACCCCGCCCCCCCTCTGACAGCTATCAGCGATTGTCGGAGGGTAGTGTCGGCGATTGTATTCCCGCCTACCTCTTGATCTTCATGTCACTCAACCCCAAACAACAAACACATACCTTTAATATGGAACACGAATAGCACTGCAGTGTCGCCTTTCTTACCTGCCTCCCTCCTATGTCCCTTCTCCGTCTTCCTCAAGCGCTCCTGGGGCATCGACTAGGATACCCGTAGAAACTCGTAAGCTCTTTGGCCTGATGTTCTGCATTCCTCAAATAATTTCAGTCAGCATATCCTTAGCGATGGACACCATCGTGTTCTTGGTATTCTTCCTACTGACCGCGTTACTCGCAATAGCCAACAGTAAGTATGCATGCTATCATGGGCCACATACTCGCTAAATATTGATTCTCAATTAACAGTTCCACTTTCGGCATATAATGTTGTACAAGAGTTCACGTACTGGCCAACGACACGCTTGCTCCGCTCCCCTTCAGCAATCTAATCCCTGACATCCATTAGACAGCTTCACGCCACAAGTTTTGACTGTCGGCGATTCTTTTCGGCTCAATAATTCTGAGATCGTGTTCACCATTACTGAGGCCTTTAACAGGAACAACCATTTGCTGCCGGTGTCGTGCTTCTCCTACTTCAACAATCCATTTTCTGATGGATGTTACGTCGTATTTTGTCCTGCCCAATTAATTTCCACTCTCTAACTACCGGGCGTCGTCCAGAGCCAACTTTCCATCACCCCGTCTTGTAAGCTAGACGTCGGCTCAGCCCGGGACTATTACAGCGTTGTAGATAATGTGACAGTAAGCAAACCGGTTAACCTGCTCCCGCGAAGCCGCTTGATTGACCTAGAGGACAGGCTCAGGCTACAGTAACATGCATTACCAGTTGCCATGGGTAACGTGGAGCGTTCATTGGCACGTATACGGCATACACTTCCGCAAGCATGGTATAGAGGAGGATGAAGCCGAGGATCATTGTAATAACAGCCCAAGAGGCATCTTCCATTACTTGAGATTGAAAATATTCACCTGACCTTGAGTTCAACAGATGGTAAAAGACATGATCCACTTCGAACACAGTCCTAATCAGCGATTCGACCATGATTCCGTGGCGGAATTAGGGCTGGCCAAAAACAAATAGGGGTTCAATACAGATTTTGGGTATCGTATTCAAACCTCTTCACGCGTGTCTATTTGTAGCGTACCATAATCCCATAATATAGTTCTGAGTAATGAATGATTTACACCACACTTCCTCCTGAGCTACTTTCCCTGTCAAAGCTAGGCCGATGGATGGAGGAGCGAATGAGAGAGAAAGGTTGACATCTGAAATTGAACGAAATCCGATCCCCCAGGATTGATCATTATATAGGATTAGCACGTATAGTTATTGTATCCACCAATTTGGGAAGGTGTTTTTTTCCTGAATGTTTATACTGAAAAAAAGAACAAAGTCCAGAAAATGGAAGCGACCTGTCCCAACTGAACTGGGGACTCCCGCAGAAGCTCATTTTTCCCTGGGAAAATTCCAGCGGGCGCATTACCAACTGTGCCAACAGGTCGTTATTATCAACACAGAAACCAAAGAAGTTATAAATGACACATAGTTGATGTGTTCCGTCAATTTATTCACATAACAATCGGCCAGGTCAGAAGTCTGTACAAAAAATACCGAAAACATTTGGTATGTACAACTCAGAGAAGTGTATTGGCGTCAGCACGCCGGAGTCTGAAATTTTGGCGGAGGGGTTGAACATCGGTAAGCTGGGACTCCCTACTCGCTAGTCAGACCATAGACAAGGATTATTTTTCTGAAAAAAAACAAAACAAAAAAAAAACCTTGTTATATGGTCTGCTTTTACTCGCGCTGGAAAAGCCTAGGTCGACCTTCCGGATTAGGCTCTTCCCAAAAAGGCGATTGATGCTTCCCACGCCCATCCCATTCCTTCGAGTCAACTCGTATAGGCCACACTCGCGCTCTTAATTCTTGGTATGGCGGGAGAAGCATTATATAGTTCCTTGAATTCTTTGTCAAATTTCCGCACTTCTCGTGCTCCCTTATGTACTACCAATTGCCCCGGCAGAGTGGCAGTGCTTACAATTCACACGGCTACGGGGAGTGAATTTGGGCCAACCGCGAATTTGAGCCAACCGCGAACTGCAATGATATTTTAATTACTGGTGAGGACAGCGAAGTTCAGATGTTCATCTGAGATTGGTCACTTTTGCTTGGTACCTCACCAACACGTCGAATTTCTCAGATCAACGGGGTCACGTGTTTCTGAAGCGCGACCTCCGGCTAACTTATGTCATGTAAAACTAGACTAGGGACTCCCGGTACTGAGCACTACCGAGCTCTTCTTCCAGATATGCGTGTGGTCACCAAATTTATTTATTTTTCTTTTCGGTGTGCGCCAGAACGCTCAGCTCGGTTGCAGCTCGGGCTTTTATATTTAACTGGATGGCGTTGGTCAACGTCAGCCAAATGGCTGATCCACATCACAGGCTACTCCGTGTGGTCCGAGCGGGCCGAGCCAGTCCGCCAATACCGTCATGAAACCCTCGTCACTCTGTGCTGTTCCCGAGTTGATCGAGGTGCGTCGCTGAGTCGCTGCGCATGCTCGGCATCCCCCGTCGCGGGGCACCCTCTTCTGCTCGCTCTTCATTGAGGATATCCACATCGAGAAGACGGCCTGGTGCCGTCGCCGACGCGGTGAGGAGCACGCACAGACGAGGACGTTAAAAGCAAATGTAAAATCACGACACCCGCTCGCCCACCTCCAGTAGCCCACCCACATGTCATCATCCTTTAACCCACTAGTATGGACCGAAAGGGTTATAGCAGCGCCCGCCAGGTAGAAGCCAGCCACCGGTTTCCCCAAGGTTCATACACACTCGTTAATAGTTATCTACTTAACACAATTCCTTTTGAAAGGTTATTACTCGCTGCAAATGTAACATAAGAAGAATAAATTTAATGCTGCCGTGCGTGGGCCACAAATTATAGTTCGCGATCGATGAAGGTATTTACTGTATTTTAATGTAGTATGAAAATATAGGACGCGTCGAAAGGCACGCTGACCGATATTTATACGGAGATTCTGTTTTCTTGCGTGGCGGCACGTCACCTGAACCGTCCTCCTTCCGTTTAGCATCCTCCTTGGGACGCCCCTCCGCCGCACACTTCTCTGCGAACCTCCGACGTAAAGAATCATATAGTTGCTGATTGAACCCCACACATTGTAATCCAGTGGCGACCACCTTGATTATTCCGTCTGGGAACATGTACTTGATTATTGGCTGTACTTCTGGCGGAGTGGGAATTCCGACGGTTGCGTCTAGTATTTCTTTGGTGGACTAACGGGCGGATGAGACTGTAGGAATCGAAAAAGACCACGACCTACAATATGTGAGGGTTTCGGCGTCCCCTTTGGAGCAAGGCCACGGAGGTCATGGCATTTGTAAGTCCCGACGTACAATATCCAATCCTTGCGAATCATAAATAATTCGCGAGTACCGCCATGGAGACTGTCGAGGTCCGAACCCTCTATCCAGGCGCTCTGTAATTGATCATATCGATCACTTGGCCCAAACGCCAGAGCGTGAGGGCTGCCGTCTTCGCCGCCGTTTGGGTCAAGCCAGGCAGAGCGCTTTGGCAGGTAGAGCACATGATTGAAGAAGCTGCCAGGACCGTATCAAGCTGAGTACTTTTATACTGACGGATTGCAACACTAACGCTTTAGAGTTTGGATCCTGGAACCATTATATGAGCGTTCAGTTCGGACAGCCGTCGAGCAACGACGTACTTCGGCAAGATAAGAATATGTTGTTCGATTTGTAACAACACGGGATCCAATTCGCTGACATGTGGGCGTGCGGATGGCACTGGCAGTTTACGCAGATATTCTCGGTACAACTTGTGCGCTGCCTCGGTCTGTTTATTTTGAAAATTAATATCGCACCGGCCCGATTACGATCGTACCTTCTGTTTATCTTCATTTGAGAGCGGCGGCTGAAACCA